CCCCCAAAAACCCCTTTTAGCCTTTCTAGATTCGGGTGATTGACATGAATGGCCTGTAAGAAGCTGGTTTTAGCCGAATGTCCCTAAAATCGGCGATACTTAAAAAAATGACCCTCTGACCCATATTCAATTGTTGTTCTTCAATGTTTCTCTACTACATTTGGTGGAGTTTATGCTATATTTTACTCTACCTACCTGTTAAGTTGTTCATCAAAGTATACCAGGTTGGCATGATTTTGCTATTTAGAGATTTTTCTACCGGATTGGTCGAGTTACGCTATATTTACTTTATCCATATGTTAATTTATTCATCGAAGTCTACCTATTGACATAATTTTTCTTTGTTATTTTAACAAATTATTCTTCAAATTTATCATTTCAATTTCGATCAAACCACCCTAAATCTGCTCCAAATGATCTCAAATCTGAAACAAAGCTTTCAAATACCAACTCTAATGACCAATTTTGTCAAACAACACAAAATCAAAAGACCCGCTTTGTTTTATTCAACACAATCTGAGATTCAACAATAAATTTTTGAGCTTTTTATAGAAAATTACTAAATCGGTGTTCGAACTAAAAATTAAATATAAATTGTCAACATGCAAACGATTTTAATAATAAAGCATCATCAACCTTATACTTTCCACCACCAAAAGCTTTAAATATTGAAGAGTTATAGTGTTCAAGTAACGAATGGGAATATTTGGCTAACTCCATAAAAATAGATATTCCGTCAAGACCGGTCTAATTGGGAGACATACCATGCAATTCTTTTTTGTGCTAGATTCAGTTACTCGGCTGAATTGGGCCAATTTGGACACTCGTCCCCCATGTTTTGGGCGGTTCTAAACTACTTGAAGAAAACTAAGTAGGCTTGATCTGAAAAAAGGTTATTGGGCCTCACTATTTCTCGTGGTCTATAATCCAATGATATTCTCCAACAAAATTATGCTGTTTCACAAAATATAAAATTGAACTACAATTATTTGAAAAATAATCTACATTAAGGGTGTGTTTGGTATAATGGAAAATATTTTCCGTGGAAAATATTTTTCAAGAAAATATTTTCTTGGAAAACAAGTACTAATTTTATTCATTTTTCAGTGTTTGATACGCAAATTAAGGAAAATGGCTTCTCAAGAGTATTCATAAATATTTTAGATATAATAAACATGAAACCATAAACTTTCAAACTAACAACCTTCCGAACCCACATTTTTCATAAACTTTCAAACCGCTAAACTTTCGAAACTACGGAATTTCTAACCCGTAAACTTTATAATTTCTAAACCCATAAGCTTCCAAACACATAAACCTCCGAACTCATAACTTTGGAACTTGAAAAATTTTGAACTTTTAAACCGATAAATAAAAAAACTAAAAATGAAAATATATTAAAAAAAAAAATTTTTTTTTGGGGGGGGGGGGGACGTCGAATTGGGGGATGGGTGGTGCAGAAAATAAAAAACATAGAAACTTGAAATTGCAATAAAAAAATAAAGGTGAAAAAATAATATTTTTTCGGAGGGGGTTGGGTGGGTGGGAGGAGTAGGGTGAATGGTAACGGAAAAACTGGAAATTTGAAAAAAAAAAATTTTTTGGAGAGAGAGGGTGGGGGTGAGTTTGTGAGGGTAGGGAAGGTTGAGAAGGAGTTTTGGAAAATGTTTTCCTTTCTTTTGATAATGAAAACCTTTTCCTCCAATTGGAGGAAAATGAGTTCATAAGGAAAATATTTTCCAAAATATTTAAGCCAACCGGAAAATATTTTCCTTCATACCAAACACACCCTAATTGGAAATCTAACTGATTGCCGTCAAATACTTAACTATTGTTCGTTATAAGATGATATTTTAGAAGCAAATAACGTTACAACTAACAGAAACTAAAATGAAGTAATTCATGTCTCAATCTCCCAAGAAAAACGAAAAAGGAAAATCTCCCAAAGAAAAGTTTTGTATAACAGTTACGTACATTGTAGGTTTGAAAATCTATCTATATAGAATAAGAGAAGCAAATTCATATTATTATGCCAAGTGTTAAAACAATAATTAAATATGTGTCCAATTTTAGGACAAGTCTCCAATTAATTTGGAGATTAAAAAATAATTTAAAATACAAAATTTCAAATATGCTAATTCAGTTTCAACATCTGAGTCTCTCATTTGTTGGGCTGTTTTTTCTTATTTGTAAGAAGTTTAAAAATTTTGAAACTTCCAATTCAGTTTATATCTACACGTTTTATAGAGTCCCATATTTGTTGGGCTGTTTTTTTTTTTTTTAAATTTATTAAACCTGAAAATTCAATTAAAAATAAAACTAACCCTCAAACGTGGGCATCCTCCATAACTTCTTCACTTTCTCCATAACTACAAATAATCTTTTTTATGCGGCTCATCCTTTCAATTTCTTTTCTATTCCTTTTTTTTCTTTGCTCATAATACAGAACTTTGCAAATATAGCGACAAAACTTCATGATATTAGACAAATTTCAAGCAACTCGATGAATGAAATTTGAAAGTTAGAGTAGTATGTGGAAAAGCCCAGATCATTTAAGCCTGAAATACCATATTCTATAGAGTTGATTTTACAAGATGCAAAGGTAACATATGTATAATTGATTTTTATTTTTATGCTTCCTCTTCTCTGCTCTAAAATTTTCAAATAGATAAAACTATCCACGTGAAACAATTTGCACAGTACCCTTATTTCTTTTTCTATTTCTAATGTTACTTTATCAATTGTTTATTAATTTTCAGCAATCCTTAAATAGATGAAACTATCTACTTGTAGCGATTATGTGTTGTAATTTTATTTCTACTTTATTTCGAATGTCTGATTTATAATTGTAGACTAATTTTCAGCACAAACAATTTATTACCAATATAATACATTCTAATATGAATCTAAGAAACAAAATATCATGTTCCACCTATATGTATCTGAAATTGCCGCAAATTCTAAAAATATGCTTATTCTGCCAAAAAAAATTACGCTGGTTGTTGACAATCGTTTAGTCTGTGCAACTACTGCAAATTCTTAAAATATGCATATTCTGCCAAAAAAATTAGCAATGTTTGTAAGATGGAGCCAAATTTTTTTACAATGTTTGTAAAATTGTTATTTGTGCAAGTTCATTCAGGAGTAAAATTGTGTAAATATTGAGCTAAATTCATCTTTATGAATCATGAATTTAATCATCAATGGCTTCAGTCTTTCTGATAATATTTTTTTTTGTGACATGTTAGTTATTTGAAGTAATCGGTTGTTGAATGAATGTGTTGGTGAAGTTCAGATTTCTGAAGAATTTAATCTATTTAATCTTTGTACAAGATATATTCGATAGTTCTAAACTAATAGGGAAGAGTTGCTTTTCAAGTAGTTGTTTGTGACTAATATGCTTCTTTGTTGAAGCGGAGGAGAACGATATTTAGATTAGTCGACGAACTTTTGCTATTAAATGCTAATGTTTGGGTCATAATATTGGATCTGCTATCCTATGGCTCAGTATTGAATGTCACACAGATTATTTATGTGATCTCTAAAGTGAAATAGGATTAGTCTCCTAGGTGCAGAAACCTCCAATATAAGCTAAAACTATGTTAGTACCAGATCATATATGTTTGTGAAGTATTATATTTACTTTATATTGATATTATCTTTATCTGGTTCCTAGCCTTCATAATGGCAGCACCCCTTTGGTGCACAGTAGCTATGAACTCTACATTTATTTGAACGGAAATAAGATTAGTTTTGAGAAATTATGAGAGTGTGTATGAAGTAAGTTTCATATTAGCATAATATATAGGAATTTGCAGGCACAACACATTAGCTTTTTCCAAAACATTTCTCATGGTAGTGAAGATTCTTATTCATGTGGTGTAATTTTGAAGACACTTTTAATGAACAGTTTGGTGTTTCATTACAGAATCTTATATGTTATTTTAGTTGTTATTTTTCACTTATCTAACTAATTAACCTTTAAATACAGTCACCGTTTACCTCAAATCTTAAATGCACGTGGGCAATGCATGCATAATTCCAGAAATATATAGTCGATCAAAAATAGTTTCCATTGAGCTTAACAATGGTTAGATATTTGAAAGAAGATCACGATTTCAATGATCTAAATGTTCAAATACTGCAATGTATATCATTGTCAACAGTTTTGCAGAAATTCAGGTACAACTTTACTCCGCTTTGCTCTGTGTGTGTGTTCGTGTTATTAATTTTTTTGTGAAATTGGTTCTGTGTTTCCCAATACACTTCTTTCATTTAAAAAAGTCATTGTAAAACCAAAATAATCAGTCATCGTTTAGGGACTCGGGATCACTACTTTTGTTATAAATTCAATATGCATTAAAGTTATCATGTTAACTAAATAACTCATTAATACATTGATCTTTTTGACAGAATTTCATGTTACATGGTGCAGCTTAGTGGTTAGTAAAGATATATAACAACATAGATAAAATAATGTCTGGATATTACACAGTTTAGATACCTGCAGTTAGAAGAATGCTAATTACAGGTTGTGGGTACACAGGTATAGATGCAACTGTTTATTATAGTCTAACAATTTTTGAGGACGCCAGAATTAAGGGTAACACTCAACTATTAGCTGCAATTGTTGCTGTTGGATTCACAAAGACAATATTCATTTTGATAGACATATTTCTTTTTAACAAAGTTGGTAGGAAACCTTTGTTATAGACATATGTCTTGGCCTGACACTTTCTTTACTGTTGAATGGTTCAGTTGGAATTAAATTAGCAATTTTATGTGTATGTGGAAATGTAGCATTATTTTTCGTGTGGATTGGTCCTATTTGTTGGGTATTAACATCTGAAATCTTCCCTTTAAGACTTAGAGCCAAGCATCAGCTCTTGGTGCAGTGGAAAGCAGGGTTAGCTCTTGTGTATGCACAGGCTATAAAATCCAGTTATTTGAAATCGGTCCCGATATACAATATTATAATTAGTCATTTGTATATGTAAAGGAATATTGCGTCTGTTGCACCATCTTTAGTTCTCATCACGAAGATCTTTTCATCAATGGAAAGAAGTCTTTAACTTCCAAGAAGGGATTAGGTAGCAGACTGCTCCAATGAACATTTCCTTCAAATTTGGAGCAGTTATCACATAAGTACTACTGTGAGATAAAGATCAAATATTGTCCAATGTGAATCATATTGCATCAGATGTTACTTTTGATACATCTCTAACTCAAGGTAAATACATTTCACATATTGCATCTATCTTTTTGGTTTTGGACATAAATGAAATTTTCACAGCTTATGCTCTTGGCATTTATATATAGATTCCAACAATCAAATTTGCAAGATACATTGCTACAACTTGACTTCTTTTCAGGAAGGACATATTTGGATTGTTATGACTGTAGTGAATCTTCTACTTGAAAAAGAATGGTCATATTTGGGTGCAAGAGATGCTCGAAGAAGGTTGACAAAATTGGAAGTAAATTTCATTGCAAGAAATGTGATCGCCTTGATAGTTCTGCCACTCATAGGTTTGAAGAAGCCAGTATTTACTCATGGACAACTGTATGTTGCTCTTTCACGCGTGACGAGTAGAAAAGGGTTAAAGATTTTAGTTTATGATGATGATGGCCAAATAACGAATGAAGGTAGAAATGTGGTGTATAAAGAAGTTTTCCGTAATTTGGTTTGAGATAAATCTAGACATGATGGAATTATCAGGTATTTACAATATCTTTTTCTGATTTCTATAATTGCTTTAGCTTTTGAGTAAATATTACTGTTTGCACAATTTGGGATTAGAAAAGGATTGATTTATGAAATAGCACTTTGGCTTCGTCTCTGTCTTTAGTTAGGATAGTATGATGTTTTGTTATTTTTCTTTTATTCCAGATGAAGTTGTATTTTCATACAGCAAGGCTTATTTCATTGCCTATTTAGTAATGGTGTTATTGGGTTGTTGTTGTTTCAAGTTTGAACACCGAGAATTTCTGACTTAGCGAATGACCGAGGACCAAAGAAAGTGAAACTGACGCAGCTTATGGTTATAAATCAAAAAGTCATTTTTCAATACTCTGTTCTCATGCTCGAAATCTCTTGGTGCAGGACATCACATTTCCAACTCTCAACCAACTTTCCCTGAACTAAGAATATTTGACTTCCACTTTCCACCTTAAACCATCTGCTGTATGGTTTAGCTAAGAGGTTGATGATAATAGATTTGGCTGGATTTGCATTGTCACTATGTAGCCATTAGTCAACATATGGCTGGGAGCAGCAGTAGGATAGGTAGCGGGAAAAAACGCAGGACATCAAATGCTGGGACAGCCTTAATCATAAATTTGGATGACGACGATTTAGGAGAGACAACTTCTACTGCATGGGCATCATTAACACAAAACTTGATTGATGATTTGGAAGGTTGGGCATGCGATTCATGTACGTTTCTGAATGCTAGCTCTGCCACGGCATGCCTAATGTGCAGTGAAGATGCTTCTGGCAGTTGGGAATGTGAAATATGTACATTTGTCAATAAGAAGCATGCTTCTGCATGCCAAATGTGTGAGAACCGTAGATAAATTCCTTGCTTGCATCTAAAAATAAATGGCTGCTCGGAGGATACTCTTGGCTACAAGTTAGTTTTTGAATTGTTGCTACCTTACTGTTTTATCAGTCTAATGTTCTTTTTGGTCGATAGCTGCCTAAAAGTTTCATATTGCATTTGTTGGATGCATAGGCTTTAGTAGTAGTATATTTATGCATATATGGGGTTCCTGGTATTTATAGTGATACACATTCTCCAGGTACTTTGCTCATAGTTAGCCATTGAGGTCACTTCGTTCAGTTCTACATCCATTGAAGTAGATATGTAAGAAACAACAGTTATATACAATTTTGAGAGTGTTAGCTCCATCTTTGGATATAATTGGAATAGTTCAACAGTTGTGTAATAATGCATGAAAGATTTGAGTTTTCAGTTAGCTGAATAATCCATAATGAGAATGAAGCATACACATTAGTACTAACATTACTGTTTACTTTCTGTTCATTTTTCATTCTTGCATTTGTAGTGCATATTTTTATCACGCATATTTTTATTTTCATACTAACTAACATATTTTTATTTGAGTACACCTATGAATGTCTTTATCACTTTTAACTCTTGGAATATTTCATAATTTATCTCACATTTCAAGAAAGCTACTACTGTCATACCATACTTTCAATACAATTCAAATGAGCAAATAATTAAGAACAATATTATCATGCTAATATTTTTTTTTACAATCCGCGCATCACACAGGTACGTGTACTAGTTGAAATTTATTCAAAAAGCAGAAATAATCATGAAGGTGATGCAATTGCCGAAAATTTGGCCTTAGTTTAGATAGAAGGTTAAGCTGTATACACACAATATAAATTTCTTTTATCACTTGAAAGAATATTATAGGTGAAATTCGTTATATGAGAAATAAGACGTAACCAATACAATTGGTTAAAAGTATCAAAACTATAAATTATTTTATATAATCAATGTATATAAGTCAAACATACACTACCATATATACTATATGGCACAAAAAATAAAAGTAAAGAAATGCGTACTCGTAATTCGGCAAAAACTGACCACGGTCGACCGGCCAATTTTGGTCGGTGAAAGAACCAGCCAAAAAATCGACCGAAGTCGGTCGATTTTTTAAAATATTTTATTTTATTTATATTTTAGTTACGAAACGGACCAACTTTGGTCGGTTTTCTTTGGCGCAAAAATACGGGAAACTATTCTTGAGTCCCGCGAAATTTATTTTTCAAGAAACCGACCAACTTTGATTGGTTCATTTAAAATAAATTAAATTAATATTAAAAAATCGACCGAATTTGGTCGGTTAATTCGGCCGGTCATTTTAAAAAACCGACTGAATTCCTACGGTAATTTTATTTTTTTAAAAACCGATCGACATTGATCGATTATTTTTCGTGCAAAAATACAATTAAAGAGTATAAATGAAATACAAGACAGTCTTAAAACAAAATGGACCAATGGTCTAGTAGTAGAATAGTATCCTGCCACAGTACAGACCCGGTTCGATTTTCAGATGGTGCATTTTTTAATTACATAATTAAAATCCCGACCGACCTTGGTTTGGTTGGTTTTTCCGGCATTTTTTTTTTGAATTTAATTGACCGACCAAAGTTGGTCGGTAATTTCCGACCAACTTTAGTCGGTATGCCCTTCCGACCTTCAAAATACCGACCACACGTTAATGGTCCGTTTTGGACGGTTATTGGCCATTACAGACCAATGTTTTAAAAGGTGGGGGCGTGAGGCGAGACGTTTTATTTCTGACGAGGCGAGGCGTAAGCCCTGAGACATGGGGCGTAAGTCCCGCGGATCTTTAAATTTTACTAATTTCAAGAATTTATAAAATAAAAATAATTATAAAAATTATATTAAAATCACAAAATTATACAAATAATATATTTAAAATATTAATAAATTATAATTCAACTATGAATAATATGAAAAGTATGACATATATCATAATATGCAAATAGTTGCAATGTTGTTACAACTCAAACATCAAAAGTAATGTATTCTATACGAAATCTTATATGTATCTCTTAAGGAGTAATGAATCTTGAAAGAATTTCGATATTATAATTTGATATTTTTCTTAAAATACTCCTTTTATTTAATATGCTTTCTATTGGAAAGAGAATTTATATAAAAATATAATTCACAATTTAAACATGATTCTCAAGCATCATTCATTTTTAAGTTTCAACAAGTTAATAAAGTGACACATAATTCACCATACAATACCATGATAACTAATTATTTGTACAAATTACTAGCTAATAGTGAGCTATTAAATTAATAAGTATTGTATCTCGTAAACGTGAAAAAAATTAGAAAAATAATGATAAAAAACTAATGGACTATTATATAGTAAAGACATGACAATAGTTAATAAATAAATACTTTTCAAATGAAAGATTTATTTAAAATTAACTATCATAGAAGTGTTAGTGGATAACGTGCAATAATTTTTATTTTAATTATGACAATACTCCCAACTTAATAATTTATACTTAGGAAAAAAGTAATTTTGAGTAGTCAACGATTTATTAAGAAAATTTGTAGATTTACAAGGTTAGTTACATATAATTGCATAAAGTTCTATTAGGCGAGCCCAATACGTTGGGCGTTGGGCGTGTTCGGAGCGTAAGCCCCGATGGTCGAGGCGTAAGTCTCACGGAACTAAGCCCCACACATAAGCCCAGAAGCGTTTTACGAGTGCTTCGCCCCCGGGCGAGTCCCAATTCTACCTTTTAAAACAGAGTTACAGACCTACTTTGATCTCTTTTTTTGGACTAGTGTAAATTGTAATGAAATGAGGGAGTTCTGAATAGGATATGTCCATCATTTAAGAATCTGCAATTAATTTACCGAATAAGAATTACTCTAAAGTTGTGGAGTGTCATATCACTTAGGTGTAAGGCTGCAAATTAATCCCACGGAAATGACACATACATATTTTGATAAGAGCATAAGATAATAAAAATGAGTGACGTTGAAGCATCAACCCAAAGACAATATTAACCACCCAAACTTGCTCACATTTGAAAGGCTCAACGAATTTTACATATTTATGCTCTTCATTAATGTATTAATGCCATTTCCTTCATTTTCCCCCAAGGATAGCTAGAAATATGTAACATTCAAGAGGGCCAAGCCCTTCATTTTGGATGTTTTAAGGAAAAAGAGAAGGAGATACATTTAATAAAAGCATAATAATGTGTCCTGCTGTGTGGCTTGAATAATCTATCTATATTATATTAAAAGGAGAGTAGTATGCATTGTGGTTAAGCCAAGTGGCAAGCTAAAATGAAGCCACTTGGCAATTTTAAGACAACATTAATAATTAAAAATTATATATGAAAACATAATTAATGGAAGTAGTTGAATTAATCTTATACATAATCTAAATAGATCTTAGACAAATCTAATTTATATATCTACATATATATATATATATAAAATTTCAATGTTGAAACATATGGAAGGATAAGACTTATTTGATTTTTGAGAAGAGAGAAAGTAAGTGTGTGTGAATGTGTGTGTATATATATATATATATAGCTAAGTGACAAACTATTATAAAGCCACTTGGCAATTTAAGATAATATTACTAATACTAATACTTAATTTAAATTAAAATATATTTTTTCGAATCTGAATGAAAAGAAAGTGAATATTTTTATAAAGATATTGTCTGACGTATTTTAATTAATAGATCTTAAAAAAATTACATTGAAAGATAAAAACAATGCCTCTATCTTAATTAATTATAAAGAAAAAAATATAGTTATTATAAAAAATACAATAAATTTAAACATTAATATGGACAGTAGAATTAAAAAAATTAAAAGAAAAAGAGAAAAAAATATATAAATAAATAATTTCAATGTAGAAGTATTTGGAATAATAAGACTTATTTGATTTTTGAGAAGAGAAATTATTTTAAATAACGATGAATAAAATTTGCATTGTGGTTAAGCCAAATGACAAACTACTATAAAATCACTTGGCAATTTAGGATAATATTAATACTAATACTTAATTTAAATTTAAACTTTTTTTCTTAATCTGAATGAAAAGAAAGTGAATATTTTTGTAAAAATATTGTC